GAGAGGGCACAGTCTCAGACAGAGGAAGGGGGTCCATGGCCCCCCGTAGGAGAGGGCACAGTCTCAGACAGAGGAAGGGAGTCCATGGCCCCCCGTAGGAGAGGGCACAGTCTCAGACAGAGGAAGGGGGTCCATGGCCCCCCGTAGGAGAGGGCACAGTCTCAGACAGAGGAAGGGGGTCCATGATCCCCCTGCAGGAGAGGGTACAGCCCTCAGACAGATGAAGGGGGTCCCATGGGCTCTGGTTCACATGGATCCTGAAGCTGCAGCGTTTGCTGAGGGCCATCTGTGCACAGCCCAGGCCAGGAAATCCCTGCAGGAGCTGCTGCTGGACACCCGGCTGGGGCAAGAAAACAGCTACCATGTTGTCTGCCCTCTGACCATGAGCTCGACAGAGGGTCCTGTTCACTATTTACCAAAGAAAATCAAAAGGCTTGGCGCACTGGAGTCTCTGCCAAGGCACAGGACTTCTGAAAACCAACAGAAAAGCCATAGGCCCAAACTAAGGGTCTCTATTAAATGAGCAGTTTATCTGCATTCTTAGACAAAAGAACATTAAACACCTAAAAAACTAACATTACCTACAATGTTACTGGAAGGGGAGTGAAATCAGACCTGAGGTCAGGAGCGGACACCTGAGTGGATGGCCGGACCTCGTGTACCTTGGACACCCAAGGTTTCTGGAACCAGGTGTGACGTTACTAAAATGAACTCTTTCTGGAAGAAATTTGGACAATAAACATGGAATGTATAAATCAGCCTCTATTAATGGAATATGTAAGAACTGAGCATCTTATATGCACACGTTCCCTTCTGTACTAGTCTCTGACGAGGATACATGTTGGATCACTAGCCAGCACATCAGCATGACAGCCCACATGGTGAGTGATCCTCAAGGAACACAGCCCGCCAGCCACACCTGTGTGCATGGAGAACAAGACTCACCCTTACTAAGGGTGGAGTCTCGTTCACTAGGTGGGGATCATGGTTCAGAGGGGTAGCTCATTGCACGGAACAAGAGTCTGAAACTTTGTGGTTTAGTTTTCCTGAGGGACTTAACCCCTGTTAAGAATCCGAGTGGTGATCGATCACCAGAACGGCACAGTGCCCCCATGAAGCTGGCTTGAAAAGACTGTCACTTATCTGGATGGTTAACAAGTACCACATGGGTGACACACAGGGATGCTGGGACCGCAGCTCGATGCCCAGTCTCTGACCTGGGTGGGCCCACACAGCGTGACAACATGGCCACACATCTGACCATGTGTCCAGCTGCACTGGTCAGCATGGGTTATCTTCACACTGATAGGCATAAGATAATCAAAGCAAATACATGACAACTGGGTCCTAGGAGGGAGAAACAAGGTAGCAGGGGAGGGAGAAAGGAGGCTGTGGCAGGAACAGGTGCCAGTCCCCAAAGGCAAGTTCAGAGGCAGGAGGAGCAGAGAGCTGGGGCAAGGAGGCTGCAGCCACAATCCCCCTCTTAAAGGGATGCCTGCCAGCCCCAGGTCAGGTCAGGTCAGGCCAAGGCAGGCCAGGTCAGGTCAGGCAGTACTAGGAGAAAAGTGCTGGGCGTGGGGCAGGAACAAAACCATACCTGCAGGTCTTCTCTACTGATCAGCAGGATCCTATACCCAGTTGACTATACCCAGGGGATGCACCAGCCTGGGGGTTTGGCTCAGAGAGGAGGCTGCTCACCCTGCAGATGGAGCCCCAGCACCCACCCGCCCACCCACCCCAGCAAAGGCAGCTGGCCACAGCCCCAGGCCTCAGAGCCTGTGCAGCCTTGTTCCAGGGGAAAGTGAATCGGGAAAAAGGATCTCACACATGGGAACAGGGGCCTCTACCAGTTTCCTGACACCCTGCTCTATGCTGCACTCCTCATACCAGGTTTCCCTGAAAATAAGACACTGTCTTATATTTATTTTTTCTCAAGAAGACACACTAGGGCTTATTTTCAGGGGATGCCTTCCGTTCTACGCTGAAATGCATGGCGTGGCTATGCAGATATGCTGCATAGCCATGCCCATCACTAGGTCTTATTATTGGGGTAGGGCTTATATTTAACAAATGCATAGAAATCCTGCTAGGGCTTATTTTTTGGATAGCTCTTATTTTCGGGAAAACATGGTATAGACGCTGAGTTCTGAGACATGTGAGCAGCACCAGACACGGCACAGAAGCAGAGGACTGACCCTGGGCGGTGCTGGGTTGGAGGAGTATGGAAGAAAACCACCGCTCTCAGCAGGGCTGTCAGAGTCAAGGGCAGGTGTCCTGAGGAGGGTCAGACCAGGAAGCTCTGGCAGAAATCAAATGTCTCACTGCAGAGGCCAGGAAGGGGGAAATCTTCCAGAACATTCAGGGGGAAAAAAGGGAAAGAACTTTAGAATACATGAAGGAAACAGTTTCTTAGAGTTTCAGACAGACCCTGAGCACCACTGCAGGTGCTGACCAGGACACATTCTTTTAAAAAACTTGTACTTAGAAGTTTCCTTTCATAATTGTTTGTTGCCTTATTCTTCAGGAAAAGAGAATATTTCTATAGCCTCCCAGAGAAGAAAACACAGGTCACTCTGCCGTCAAAGCTGTAGAAGGAGAAGGCAGAACTGTACCTTGGACGCTCTGAGGACACAGGATTTTGAGCCTACGGTTTACACCCCCTCATGTCAGCCACCTGTCCTAAGGGGCTGGAAAGACATTTTCAGACAGGAAATAAGTCCTCTGGAAGGAGGACTGGTTATTTCAGAAAATCTTTTAAAAGGGAAGGAGAAAAGAATACGAGGCCCAGAAGACAGATGGACGCCCCCCCCAGGAGATGTGAAAGGCACTTTGCTGCCGGATGGCAACCAGCACCCAGGCATTACCCAGCAACAACCTCCAGGCCAGAGGCTTTTGAGGTTAGGTCCTGGCTCTTTTTCCCCTGTAAGCAAATGAAAGGTATATTGAAAATCTATTTAAAATACCAGGAGTTCAGTGCAAATAAATAACAAGTCGATGTATGTGCAAATAAATAACAAGTCGATGTATGTGCAATTCTGAGAACTCCCAGCACATGAGGCCAGAGGTCCCCGGCCTGTGTGTGGCATGGGGGCACCAGCGACGAGTAAAGAAAGGGTACTCGGTCCCACCATCCCCTCGTGGGGGCTGCCGCAGCGCAGACCAGGGCTGATGGTCCCACCATCTCCTCGTGGGGGCTGCTGCAGTGCAGACCAGGGCTGATGGTCCCACCATCCCCTTGTGGGGGCTGCCGCTGTGCAGACCAGGGCTGATGGTCCCACCATCCCCT